TCCCACAAATGGCAAAATTAAAGTTTCCCTTTCCCCATCTCTTCCTCTAGTTCCCCTACACCCTTCTTCAGCTGCTTCCCTTTCTGCATTATGTTACCCTTCTAGTACATATTTATATTCCAAGCCTCTCTGTGAATCAACAACGAAGGTCGCACCAGAAATATACGTAGGTCTGTCAGGAGGTCTGATAAATACGAAATAAGACGAAATCTTGAAACTCCCTTAACACAGATCTTTCCGTAACCACTGATCTAAAACGAAAAACAGTGAAGACCAGTGCAGTCGTCTTGAGTTAGATATATTTCTGAGATTGAGGAACAGATGTCTTCAATATCTGCACCAGCTGTTTCACATTTCTCTCATTAAGGCAGTGATACACCCCCCACCCGAATTACACCAAATTAAAAGTTAATTTTCGCTTAATGATATCTACAGGCAACATGTATTGTCTTCGCTCGCTTGGAAACCGGGATCGTGGGTTCGAATCCCACTCAGGGCATGGATGTTTGTGTGCGTTTTTCTGTGTATGTGTACAGGTAGAGGCCTTGCGACGAGCTGATCACCCGCCAAAGAGTCCTACCGAATGTGTAAGATCAAGAAAAACCGAAGTGAACGGAGAAGTTCATGGAGGTAGGCCTAGGCCCACTGGGACTGTAGTGCCAAGAAAAAAACATCTACAGGCACAATTTTATATCTGTGGAGCCGAAGTAGCCATTTTATGTGGGTCCCTTGTCACCACGGAATGGCGCGTCCTCAGGTTGCAGATGGAAGAGACTCCCTCCAGGTGTGGGGGTTATCTGCAAATATATTGAATAAGCAGTCGCGGACAGCCGACAAGGTGTAATCCTTCAACTTGGGGGTTGGGCGCGGGGCTAAAGCTCCTCACCGTAAAACATATGCTTATTACGAAAGATCACAAAATGTAGGGTGTATGGGGGGTCAGATGATACGGAGGTGGCATCGCACCTGCAGGCGAATATACATTTTTCTGTGGAAAGGGGAATGAAAATCATGAATTAGGTACAGGTTTCTTCCTACATAAGAGAACCGTATCAGTAGTTAAGTGGTTAGAGTTCGTTGGTGATAGGATGTCATATATATAAATAATAAGAGGTCGCTGGTGTGATACCATTGTTACGTATGTTCACGCCCCAACAAAAGATAAAATTGATGATGTAAAAGAGAGGTTCTACGAAAAATCAGAACGGAAGGGGAAACCCAAGTACTCGGAGAAAACCTGCCCCAGCGTCACTTTGTCCACCAAAAATCCCACTTGATCAGACCCAGGATCGAACCCAGGCCGCCGCGGTGGGAAGCCAGCGACTAACCGCTTGAGCTATGGCGCGGGTATTTCTTCTCATAAATTTTACTTTAATTATGTTTCTTTCTATTATCGTTCTAATCCCAAGTCCAGGGAGATCTACAAAATATCAGTAAGATTCATGATTCAAGGATAATACTGAGCGGGAGAAAGACATGAGGACCCAATTCGTCAAAAGAAGAAAAAGAATAATATGTGATCATAAGCATACATTATGAAAATTCTCATTTTATAGCTTTCTTCAGCCTCCTTTAATCCTCTCACTTGAGTCCAAATATCATCTTTAGCGCCCCTTTAATTTACATTCTTCTGTCCCAGTGGGAGATAAAGTTTCGTGCACACAATACAACAGGCGAAATTAAGATACAGGAACACATGACTGCTATTTGTAGTTATGCTGTGTACTAGGACTCTGTGTCTCAATGCTGTTTACAGCAGTGTGTTCCTTTCGTGACCTATTTCACGACAAGCTCAGTATCCCATACCAGATCGTCGAACGAAAAGCTGACTGGAGAATAATGAATTCCAAATAATTTGGAAGAAACTTCTTTATTGAAACCGTCACAACACAACTATATTAAGGTCAGTGCCTAGTTTGACTCTGCTACATGTTTCGGCTATTAATAGCCATCATCAGGCAAATACATGGCTAACATATATGCACCACTGAACTGCAGTATTAATAAAATTGGATACAATAATATTAATATATGAAAATACTTGACGTAAAAATACAATACATTAGATATATAAAAAAAGGTTTCATGGCCCAATCGAGGCACTGTCCCAGCATTTGACTTGAGGGACTGAGGAGATCCACAAAAGCGTCGGTCAGGGTGGCAGGTGCTCCAGTCAAAATTCGGACTTCACAAATAAACGTCTGCAGTGATTTAATTTTATTTCTTTTTATTCGTGGAGTGGGGTGAGAGTGAGCCCAGATGGTGAGCCGGTTGTTGGAGGGTCTGTTGCTGGGAAATGAGCATGAATCAGTCAGAGGAATGAGAAATGGCAAGGGAAACCCCGAAGTACTCGGACAAAATCTTTCCCAGTATATTGTAACGTGTTTCGTTGCTCAATACGCCGTAGAGATCGTTAATTCGTTTATTTAACAACCTACAAATCTCGGCTACAATTAATTATAACAATATTGCGGGGTTTCACAATTTATAACCCTATTCGCAAATCAAATCACGCTATTGTCAGTAGACTACACGTTTCACAGTACGGGAGCTATACAAGTGTCACTGTGTTACACACTCCCAATTCATTCTCGGTTATCACAAACTATCACTGATTCTCACACACGCTTCCGTAACTCGTAGGCTTGCTCGGAACTGACTCGGAACTCGTAAGTAGGTGCCTTGAGAACTGTTGATAACACACTCGCTCGTAGGCTTGCTCGGTACTAACTCGGAACTGAACTCGGCGATGGCCACATTTCAACTAACTCACGCTTACTGTTCAGCCGGCTTTTATTCCGTTCGCTGTTGCCTGTTGCCCGCGTCAACAGCGTCGTTGCGTGCCACGTAACAGTGTCTGCGTATAGCCTAGCAACGCTGTTACTTCACACCGTCTTACGTCACCGCTGTTGACTCGCGTTGCATAGCTACCAGGACGCTGGGACTCGGCTAACTTCGGCTCCGCTCGGCGCGTCAGCTCCGGGGGAGGGGGCGTCCAGNCTTCCAGCCGTACTATGGCCCTGGGGTCGATTCAGCCTCTAACGGAAATGAGTACCAGGAATGTTCTTGGAATATTCTTGGGGGTAAAGGGCGACCGGAGCGTAGGGCTGACAACCTTGCCGCCATCTGTGGGCCGATTGTCTAGAAAATGTAGGAACCGCAACATCTCACAAACCTATGGGCCTCCACGGCCTGTTACAGGGAAACCTTTACTTTTACTTTTTACTTACTAAATCGTTTTTCTCTATTCCTCGCCTGACGACTTCTAAATCTTCTACATACATCTTGTACGATCTAGAAGGTACCTCATTAATTAAAATCCAGACTTGGCTACAGTTTTCTTCCTGTTTCACCCGTTCACTATAAGTTCATGTGCAGATGGATCTCTAAACGAACAACTTACTATTCATCCCTAATTATAACGTATCTGGTGCTCATGATTTAAGTGTTTTTGAGCATATCTCAAGCTGATTCTCTACTCGCGCACAATGCAAGAAGCAGCTTAATATCGCTGTAGGAATTTCATGCTCAAGTTTGAAGTTTGATTTCCTCTAAGCATTTTCCATGGCAGAAATTGAAACGGCCGATCAGAGTGACCGCGTGGTCTAAAGCGTGAATGAAGCGGCGTCATAGCTCAAGCTGTTAGTCACTGGCTTCCCACCGCGGCGGACGGGTTCGAACCCGGATCTGGTCAAGTGGGATTTGTGTTGGACAAAGTGGCGCTGGGGCAGGTTTCCTCCAAGTACTTCGGTTTCCCCTGCCAATCTTCATTCCACCAAATTCTCCATCATCATAATCACCCGGAGCAGGTACAATAAGCCAATCAGTGGCCGCCGTGCCAAGTGAACCCAGCTGGACTCCACCCCCTACTAAGCTCGTTAAAAAAATACAAATTACAGTAAATATAACAAGTATGAAGTCCCACGCAACGTCATTTAGAGCAGCAATATGCGCTCACTGAAAGTGCTTGTCTGCTGGAGGTAGAGCTGGAGTTCATGAACTGAATTTCGCTGCGCGAGGGAGGCAACGTCCAATTTAACAGACACCGGAGCTACCGCTAAGTTAGATGGGATAATGATTTTGATTTCTCGGGATTCCATTAAGTGCAGAGATGTCTGAGTGCGCTAGTAACTGACTGAGTAACATTATGACAGTTGCTTNTTTTTAAATATTTTAATAGTGATGTTTTAACGCGAGGGCAACTTCGGATGGAATGCGAAGGTTGAACGTGCATTCTGTACGTGCATTCAGTACTCCAAGCTAGTGTTGTGCTTTTACACATCGACATTTGTAGCAGTGCCCACACAGCATATATACTGTGTACAGTTAAACAACGCCAGTGTTTTCTTGTTAGTACCATGTGCCTCTGAAGATGGTTTTACTAAAACCGAAACATGTAAGACAAGAGTGAGAAAGAAGTGACCTAAAAAACATTGTTACACTCGACGGACTTTGTATTGATTTTATGTATAATAGTGTAACGGACCAAAATGAAAAAATTCAAAATGATCAATCAAACTGAGAAATCAGCTTTGTACTCCAAAGTTGGATCGAATGGAAGGAAAAATGGCAAGGATTTATAATGAGGCTGTATTGGTCTCTGGCAAGTTATTATCCAGCGATCACTTGGAGGAACTGAGTATAAATATTTAAAGTGCCTGTCGGGATAGTCTGAAATAATTCAAACCCAGTACCTGTTGACTATATGCCTAGAACATTACGGCTACATGAAGTAACTTGGTACATACGTGAAAATATTTGTGTGACTTAGATATATGTGTGCATGTATGTTTATAAGGCTTTCTGTTTGTGGAAAAAATGCCAGAGCGCCAAGTTCATCGCGTATCGAGATTAAAATTCCGTCACTATGGCAAGGAGTTTGTTATGCCAAGTGACACCTGCCTGCCTCTCTTATGAGCTCAGTTTACATCAGCAGCGTGTGGGCATACAGAACCGTGTGTCAGCAATCCTGTTTCTCATCAACGCATTTCTTTTCACAGCTTCAGACGTCAAGGTCGAATGTCGGACAACTGTTTCGCCGTTTGCAAAGATGATTCAGAATTTCCCGAAGTAACAAAGGTAAGCAAATAAATCCCCACTAATATCAATCAAGGATCTTTAGAAAAACTAGCAACTGTTGAAGTTCTCAAATGATTCATTTTGTACATAACGCAAAGTACCTGGTGTAACATCAATTGCAAATATTTAATATAATTTATCTCTACAGGTTTCTAATTTATAATGATGTTTTTAAGAGATCAAATATTTCTCATAAACTAAATAAAACAGCAGAGAAATTGCATAAAATGAGTCAAGTTAAAATATCCATAAAATGTCTAAGATGTTCATGTTTTTTACATTCACATGGCGAGTTAGATCGGTTCTTTAATCTCAGTAGAATTTCGCAGTGTTGATGCCAGTTTATATTGTTCAATCCATTTATGTACTATGAATCAACTGAGACTGAATATCTTTGTGAAGTGATCACTACTTCACTTTCGTGTGTGTTAAGTGTCTGATTAAAATTTCGGCCCAGATATTTTCTGTCCTCAGTCGTTTATTTTCTTCCTTAATCTCGTCTAGAAAATACCATAATATGGTCCACGAGTGCGTCCCTTAACCCCTTATCCACTTAATACTGACTAATCATTTCATCATGCGCCGAGTTAAATTTGTAGTCTGAGCTAATTATAGCTTCGTTAAACAAAGTACAATACATAAAGTAAAAACTGGAACCTGTAGCTCCCCATGGTCATATGATGACAGAGAAATAATTACTTTTTCTTACACAATACGACTAAATAATCACACAGTAGTTACACGAGTCTTGTTTCTCTATGCAAACTCCCTGCTGTTTAATTCGTTTGTTCCAGAGGTCCACATATTTTTCTTTCCATTTGAATAAAACGTTTTCCATAAGACCCCAAGCCGTTCTCATGCATTTATTTCGCATTAATTTTCTAATTCCATAAAAAATTTAAATAGTGGTGATTCATATGTTCGCCTGGATACATCGATAGTGTGTTTCCTTAATTTCAACACACATTGTAGTACCTGTAGAATGAATACCGCAGAATTTTGAACAACTTCAACATGTACGCCTTTCGTGGCACGTAAAGTGTCCAAGCGGTTTTCCATTTCCCTCGCAGAATTGTCCAGAAATTGCGCTGTAACTGTTTCCATTGTAGTAACAATACTACCAGTCTCTTGAAATTGCTTTCACTAAAGTAGGATAGCATTATCTGAAGGTGGATCTATTCCATATTGAATTCTGTAACGACATTGTGTTTTGATAACGGATCTTGTTTCGAGAAACCAAAGTACGCACATTTGGAGTTATGACGTCATACTATCTACCAGACATTAATGCGGTGAGTACAGCATTCATAAATAAAACTTTTTGAGTTACATTTTCACATTCCGTCAACATTTTTTATTCGTTTTCTTCCCAGCTTGAAAATAATAGGCACGGAAACCCCGAAAATAATTTAGAATCATCCTGCGTATGATCTCTCAGAACGCTAATTAACATTTTTCAGACCTCTTCTCTGTTTGTTGCGCCTTTTGTAAACTCCTCTGCCTCATAGAGTTATCGCTGTATTGAAATTGGCGTATAATTATTACATTCTTTTCAATACTTCTCACAATCTCTGACCACGGAAATCGAATCACATATCGCTGTTCTTGGTGAATTCTATGAATTAAGTCCTCATGTTAAACATGAGAGAAAGTTGTTACTACTGAAGAGAAACTGGGGCTAAGTAGGGCAGGATCCGTCATGAAACATTTTCGGTGATACCAGCATCACATTTCTGCAGTCCTTTAGTTTTCCCTGTGTTCAATTAATCAAGAACTACACCATGAAAATATATGACAAATGATACAAACTCCGTCCCAAGTGCAAACAATATATATTATATGTCTTTGATCTTGTTCTCTTCCACACTACATGTTTCGGCCTCTATCGGCCATCATCAGGTGTATACTCTTAACGTTGCTGCCACACTGAACCCAGTCTAAAATTTAACATTTAAAAACACATTGTTATTTTCTTCGTATTATCAACATCTACCTCGTTGATATGTGTCTGGTATGTAGATTATATTGCACACGTCAAATTT